AAATGAAGATAAGTCACAAAGAGCCAAGTCAGGGCTGTAAAGTGGATGCCTAATGATTTCCCACTGGGACGCCCCTACAACTGTCCTGTGATGGAAGAGAAAAGCAGAAACGCTGTTTCTGAGAATGACTCTGGTGAAGCTTTCCCTCAGGGATTTTTCTGCTAAAGCTTCGGCCAGCTTTCTCAAAACACTCTCCTAATAAGCAGATGTTATTATTATTTGGCCCTCCAGAAAGTCAACAAGCAAAATGCAGGAAGCACCCACAAAAATACCTGTTGCCCTGACTTTTGCTCTTCCCTGCTCAGTCAGCTTCTGTTCCACCTGGGCCACTCCCACCTCTAAGCAGCTAGCGCTTTGATTGTGCTTTGTCTTCAGGGTCCTCCTGGTTAAGCCTCCTATCACAATTCCTTGAGGAAATCCTACAAAATCTTGATCCCGTTTGTCTAAAATGTCCACTGAAACGTCTGATTTTGTCTGCAGATGATCTGGGCATTACTCGTTTTGGCACTCACAAGCAAAAGTTTGCTCAACTTTTATTTTTCAGTAGAATCATGTAAGCTAAACCAATGGAGAGGTCTGTGGTGTTGGCCAGAGTTCCTACTGTTAATCGTCGACCCTCTTCAACTAGGTAATCAACGAGATTACTTTCTTCCTTGCAAGTGGGATGGTCTGCCACCATGGGCGTTCAACACTGTCTTGTCCCTTCTTAAAATGAGTTACCCATTTGTAAACTGCTAATTCCTTTGGGGCACTGTCCCCTTAAGCTTTCCAATAATGCCGTGATTTCACCATTCTTCTACCCAAGGTTCATCATAAACTGTTCTTGCTTTAATTTTAGCAGAATTGTTGTCACTCTGAGAGGGCTCTTTTCAAACTGATGTCTTATCCTCCTTACTGTCTCAAACTGGATCCTGCTCAGGCGTGTTGTAACAAATTAATATGAGTTTATTTTGGTGCGAAATTTTTTTTCAAGTCCATGTACAGTTTTTTCATAATATGCATTTTCCATGAACTTCTTAAAGACCTACCCCATAGGAGAATACAAAGGAATCAGTTGCTTAATGAACCATCTTAACTAAGTATAAAAACTCTGTATGTACTGATGTATATATATATATATATATATTATACACACACACATACACAGGGTATGGTGCGAAATTTTTTTTCAAGTCCATGTACAGTTTTTTCATAATATGCATTTTCCATGAACTTCTTAAAGACCTACCCCATAGGAGAATACAAAGGAATCAGTTGCTTAATGAACCATCTTAACTAAGTATAAAAACTCTGTATGTACTGATGTATATATATATATATATATATTATACACACAGACATACACAGGGTATAGTTAACGTGGAAAAATTACCATTTTTTGAGCCACACAGAAAACCTAACAATATTCTCTGAGGCAGAAACCAACTGGGCATATTTATTAACTTCAATGCACCAAAATTATAAATTATAGAACCGGGCCAGCCAGCCTGCTTGCCTAGAAGTTCAGGGTGCCAAATCATGCTGACCAGAGTACGGACCTATAGCCCCAGTGTCTTGTAAAATCGGTTAGGTGTATGTGCACACATGCCTTAAATTGTGACAGAATGGAAAAACAGAGAAGAGACTGTGGCACGAGCATACCCCAAAGAGAAGCAGAAATGCTGTTTCTGAGAATGACTCTGCTGAAGCTTTCTTCCCACTCTGTCTCTCTCTGGCCAGTGCATGAACCCTCTGGCAATTAAAAAACAAACAAACAAACAACAACAAAAACTGGATCAGCCTCTGAGCGCAGTGGTTAGGCACTGTGCATTGAAAAGCTGGATCCCATATGGCTGGCCATGGTTTGAATCCCATCCCTGGTGACTTCGAAAACACACAAGTACATGTGCTTATATGCCTAAAGTCTTGATGGGAAGGAAAGATGGAGGAAGGAGAAGTGTGGCCAGTGTGGCCATGCCCTAACACGGAGTTTTCACTCACTTGCTCGCTCGCTCTCTCCCTGTCTGGAGAGCACATGCCCTTCAGCAATAAAAAAACAACAGCAAAAACAAAAACCATACAGCTAAAAGGAAAAATAAACCTGCTTTGAATGAAAAAATAAACAAACCACTCCAAATAACTGTTTTGTTATGTAAGAAACCAAACAGTAAAGAAAGACGTTAGCAATAAGCAATGAGTGCGGAGTGAAACCCCTAGAATGTTATCAGAGACTGCGGGAGAGGGCAACGCAGTGTTAAATCAGGACATCGGAGACACAAACTTTCAATTAGAGACTAACAAAGAGAAAAAGAAAGGAAACTCAAAGATCGTAGAAAGAATTAGCAGAAAAAGAACATAATGACACAGATATCAAAAAGCATAGTTTATGGGACCAGCAGTTAGCATAATGGCTATGTCGCTGGACTCCCACGTAGTCGACCATGGCTGGAGTCCCAGACCTGGGGGGGTAAACTCACGCCAGGGAGACTAACAAAGAGAAAAAGAAAGGAAACTCAAAGATCGTAGAAAGAATTAGCAGAAAAAGAACATAATGACACAGATATCAAAAAGCATAGTTTATGGGACCAGCAGTTAGCATAATGGCTATGTCGCTGGACTCCCACGTAGGCGACCATGGCTGGAGTCCCAGACCTGGTGGGTTAAACTCACGCCAGGCGCGTGTGTGTGCGTGCCCAAGATCCCGAGAGAAGAATGGAGGAGAAGGGATTACAGCGTGGCCATTCCCCCTGGGGGGTGATTTCTCGCTTTCTGTCTCTCTTTCTCTTTCTGGTGAGCGCATGCGCCATATAGCAAAAACCTCTTTAAAAAAAAAAGAAAAGTATAGTTTATAAGTAAAATCAAAATCTGACTTATTGAAAAAATAATAAAATCAACGATTCTTAAGTCAAGTCTCAATGCTGAGGACCAAGATACTAGAAAACACTCACTTACAAAACGAACTAAAGTTGTTTTATTTAGTAACAGCTGGCAATTTAATTAATGACAGATTTTAATTTTTGTCCATGCTCGTTTTGCGATAAGTCACTGATTGATTTTGGCAAAATAAACAAATAGCACATTAACATTTGCCTTTAAAGCAATTCTATATTTATTTAGATCACAAAATTATATGAAAGTCAATACAAATAATGAAAATTAAAAAGGTACCCACGAGCTCCATCCAACTCTACTTCACAAGTCAAAGTTAACCATTTATCTGATTAGTATTTTTCAAACAATTTTCCTTTTTTATAACTTTTAAAGGCTTTGTTACACAATAGCGTACCCCCCCTCCCACTTAGACAACGACCACCTCCCACACCGCGGAACCCCAGAAACGCCTGTGGAGCAGCAGCCCGCCCGGCCCTCAGGCACTCTCCGTAGCTCGCTCCACATGCACGCACGCGTGGACGATACAGAACACTTAGTGTGTGTGACACTTCCTGGAAGTGCTATCACATCACTGATTGCCTTTCTCCCATAAACGTCATGCTTGTAAAATCCAGTCACCTTGACGTTAACGTTCATAAACTCTGACCAATGTACAGAATTCAAAACGCACTGAACAGTTTCTTTCCCTGCTGAGTCTCCTCAACGATGTTAAGAACAGTCTTTGAAGAGCTCTCATATACATGCTAACAGCTTCTCTAGGTGCCTGCAAGGAGAAGAGTTGCCAGGTCATGAGGTGTGCACACCTTGAACTTCACTGGGCATGAGCAAACTGTCTCTAAACACGACAGCGTCCCTAACGTTCCACAGCCTTAGGGACACCGGCTTATCTGGCTGTGGCCCCTCGCTGCGCTGCGTGGGAAGAATGAAACAGTATCTTACTGCAGTTTCAATCTGCTCCCCCCTGCTCTAATGAGGGTGTGGGTCTTTTCGTGCTCAGACATTTGTGTCTCCTCCTCTGTAAGCTCACGGCTCCGTTTTCTGATTACAGCGGCTCCACCAGCCAACCACCTCAGCTCCAATACGCTAGTGAAAGACTCCGTGAAGGCTGATTATGGAGTCGGTGGAAGCCATCCTGTGACTCCTTCTCTTCCTACTCTAACGTGAGAGAAGGACGACCTTGGTGTACGGGGTAACAACATCAGCACTCTTCAAGGCTAAGTGCGACTCTGCCATTAATCCTCTGTGACCAGCGCTTCAAACGGTCCAGATGCACGTGGAGGACTCCTCTCCTCCGTGTCTGACGTGTGCGTGTACTAGAGGGCGTATTTTCTCCAGGTGAAACTCAAAGGCGTAAAAGTTGACTGCACCTCCAACAAATCCTTCAAAATTAAATTCCTACCTGACTTTCAAAAAAAGACGGGCTCCCCAGGGGACCACGCTGACATAAACTCTAACAAGCAGGAAAGCACTGCCACCGTGAGTGGAGGACTCCTGGCCAACGAGAGCAAGCAGTGTGTCAGGAAGAGCGAGGGCAGTGAGGAATGGCGCGCGCCACCTTCCAGAAGCCACCCCATTCCAGGCACCGTGAGACGAACAAGAACCACCACCCAGTCTCTGTGAGAGTCAAGAGAATATGGGACCGCGAGACCTAAATCCCACTTCATTTTCTCAGACAGAAAGTGGAGATCAAGTTCTCGTTCAAGGTCACAATAAATGACTCCCACACCCAGGTTCCGACACCGACTGGGACACTGCACAGTACATCCCCGACGTGGGGCTCCAAGGATTCTTAAAGAGCACTGATGTGAAGGAGACGTCATGGTTGGGTCCACCACCAGAAAATCTAAGACCACAGAGGAAATACGCAGACCATAGGAAAAAATCGCAACGAACAGACGGGAGGACCCTCCGGTAACGGACTCCTTGACCTCTGCTCTGACACACACACTTGCCACCAAAGGCAGAGATTAACTTGTCAGACACGGGGGTGAATGGCGTCATGGAACTCTATTTGTTGGAGTACAACAACTGTCAGAAATTCTCCTGTAAATTATTTCGAGATAAAACAGCCCACGGGGCCAACTCACGCGAGCTGCGGTGCCCGGTGGCAAACACTGGAAGCCACCTACCTACTGCGGGCGCGTCGTACTCATCGCCGAGCAGGATCTCCGGAGCGGAGTATGCAAGAGACCCACAGCTTGTGGTGAGCTTCTTCCCTGGCTGGAACTTGTTGCTGAACCCGAAGTCCGTCAGCTTCACAAGACCTTGCTTCTCAAAGAAGACCACGTTCTCCGGTTTCAAGTCTCTGTGGACCACGTGCAGTTTATGGCAGTACGAGATAGCGTGGACCAGCTGTGCAAAGTACTTCTTGGCCAGGTCCTCGGTCAGGCCCTCCTCGTGCTTCATTATGTAATCGAACATATCGCCCCCGTCCCCGAGCTCCAGGATCAGGTACAGTTTGGTCTGGGTGTCAATGACCTCGTAGAGGCGCACGATGTTCGGGTGCTGCACCAGTTTCATGCACCTCACCTCCTGGAAGAGATGGCCGGTGGCCAGCGTGTCCAGTTTTGTCTTGTCGATAACTTTCACTGCTACCTTTTCACCTGTAAAGACATGCCTGGCAAGTTTAACCACCGCAAAATGGCCTCGGCCCAAGGTTTTATCCAGATCGTATAATCCGGCAATCTTTCCATCATACCCTCGCTTGAACCCTGCCATGCTGGGCCAACTGAAGGGAGAGCAGAAAGGCGGTCTGAGGTGGGTCTGCTCACATAGAAGCGTCTGGTGAAGACAAGGGAATCATTTTCGGTGTCGCCACCGACATCTACGAGGAAGAGGAGAAATAAAATTAAGTTTCTGGAACGTTTCCTTTTAGAGCATACTTTAAAAAGGCTTTGTTTTCCTCAGTTGAAGAGAAGCTCAAAGTAAATAAAGACATCAAATGAGTCAGGTCATTTATAAGAACCTATTTTTATATTTAAGAGTTGTATTATGAAGACTGAGAATTTAGATACCATATTGAATTTTGCAAACTGGAAAAAAAAAATCAGTTCTTTGGAAGCGATTTTTGGTGAAGCCAGAAATAAGAAAACTGGCAAGTTTTATATGCTATGTTTAAAAAATAATTTTGTCATTTTCCAAAAGTAATTTCAATTAGCGTCTTTTTTTTTTTTTAATTTAGAGGGTGCCTATGCTTACCACAGAGACAGAGACAAACAGGGAGAGAGAGAGAGAGACAGGGAAAGTGAGAAAGTACCCCCGTGGGGGATGGTCACCCTGCTATCCCTTCTCCTCCATACCCCTTTCAGGACCTGGGCTCTGCACAACCAGAGCGCTAAGTCACTGGGTCTGCGACTCCAACCGCGCAGAAGCCATGCTCTAACCACATCACCAGGTGACTCTCTGTCTTAAAAACAAGACAAGAAAGGGAAAACAGAGTATGTGGACAGGAACCCAACAACTATTTCCTGTCCCCTAAGGTTAGCAACATTTCCTCACATTTAAAATGGCTTTATATCGCCCCCGTCCCCGAGCTCCAGGATCAGGTACAGTTTGGTCTGGGTGTCAATGACCTCGTAGAGGCGCACGATGTTCGGGTGCTGCACCAGTTTCATGCACCTCACCTCCTGGAAGAGATGGCCGGTGGCCAGCGTGTCCAGTTTTGTCTTGTCGATAACTTTCACTGCTACCTTTTCACCTGTAAAGACATGCCTGGCAAGTTTAACCACCGCAAAATGGCCTCGGCCCAAGGTTTTATCCAGATCGTATAATCCGGCAATCTTTCCATCATACCCTCGCTTGAACCCTGCCATGCTGGGCCAACTGAAGGGAGAGCAGAAAGGCGGTCTGAGGTGGGTCTGCTCACATAGAAGCGTCTGGTGAAGACAAGGGAATCATTTTCGGTGTCGCCACCGACATCTACGAGGAAGAGGAGAAATAAAATTAAGTTTCTGGAACGTTTCCTTTTAGAGCATACTTTAAAAAGGCTTTGTTTTCCTCAGTTGAAGAGAAGCTCAAAGTAAATAAAGACATCAAATGAGTCAGGTCATTTATAAGAACCTATTTTTATATTTAAGAGTTGTATTATGAAGACTGAGAATTTAGATACCATATTGAATTTTGCAAACTGGAAAAAAAAAATCAGTTCTTTGGAAGCGATTTTTGGTGAAGCCAGAAATAAGAAAACTGGCAAGTTTTATATGCTATGTTTAAAAAATAATTTTGTCATTTTCCAAAAGTAATTTCAATTAGCGTCTTTTTTTTTTTTTAATTTAGAGGGTGCCTATGCTTACCACAGAGACAGAGACAAACAGGGAGAGAGAGAGAGAGACAGGGAAAGTGAGAAAGTACCCCCGTGGGGGATGGTCACCCTGCTATCCCTTCTCCTCCATACCCCTTTCAGGACCTGGGCTCTGCACAACCAGAGCGCTAAGTCACTGGGTCTGCGACTCCAACCGCGCAGAAGCCATGCTCTAACCACATCACCAGGTGACTCTCTGTCTTAAAAACAAGACAAGAAAGGGAAAACAGAGTATGTGGACAGGAACCCAACAACTATTTCCTGTCCCCTAAGGTTAGCAACATTTCCTCACATTTAAAATGGCTTTGTTTTCCTCAGTTGAAGAGAAGCTCAAAGTAGGTAAGACATCAAGTGAGTCAGGTCATTTAGTAGAACCTATTTTGATATTTAAAGGCTGTGTTATGAAGACTGTTTAAAAACAAAAACCCTTCCACGAAGCTTCTCTAACTCTGCCAGCTAGCCTCACCCACGTGCCCTCTGACTGCTGGAGTGTGCTGGGACACCCCCAAGTGAGGTGGTCTTCCTCTGAAAGCATGCGGGTTCACCACTGCACACAGACAAGGGGAGGCTCATGCAGCCTTTCACTCTGAGTCCCACTTTGTGCTTTTACACCCGCCCACACCTAGAACCGTGCTTACTACGGCAGGTAAGCAAAGCGGTTTTACTAAGTTCTAAAATGCGACTTACGTCAAAACGTTCGTGAGGCAACTGTCCTAGTGCCACTATGCCTAGGACAGCACCTGGCACCCAGGAGGTCTAAGCACCTGCGAACCAACCCAGACTCCCCATCTGCACACACCTACTCAGTATGCTTGCTTTGACGGCTGTTTCTCAATTACCAATGTGGCCTACCAAGCCCTGCTCATTTCGAGAGCAGGCAAACATGAGTTCTTAAGACTTTCTGAATCTTAGAGACCATTTGGTTTAAAAGACCAAATTTCATATTGCACTCAAAATTCTCGACCTCTAGAATGTAAATTTCACATATGAAAATACATTCTTATACATGATCCTGACTGAGGAAAAAAATTAATAGATGTATAAAAGTAAGCAAATTAAGATATCACCTTAAACATCACAGGCTAAACTCCTGCTTTCATTTTTTTCTGACCAAAATGAAACAGGACTGAGTAACAAAAACAACGGGGAGGTGGCGACCTCCCAAGACGAGCTCTGTCCCTGCTAACGGACGCACTCCTCGAGGGTGCCCTTGCTCTGCTCCCGCAAGGTCTCACGTCGACTGGTAAGGGTGGTCGTTTATTATTCAGCATTTAGACGAATACATCCCCAAAACTAAATTTTACATACAGTAAGTTAAAAAATAAAAAACTCTAAGATTAAATTTCTGCAAATTTCATTTTTACTTAAAAAAAAAAACATGTATTAAAATTTATTTGGTTGTCGGGAAAGTCATGACATAGTTTTGCATAGAAAAACAGAAAAATACGCCATGACTTTGCCATCGACCTACTACTACAGGTACCTGTGCAAATGAATCGAACCGGAGCCCGTCAGCAGCTCCTGGCCAGGCCGAGCAGCTGTTTCGCTTTCACAGACCCAGAGCTATGGGACGCTGAAGCCTGTGCTTCCAAAGGTTATGCTACACTGACTCTGCAAAGTAATCTCAGGATCAAAGCTAAATTACGAACCCTGTTTCTATGAAGTTTTCTGTAACAAAGACACAGTATGATGTACATACAGGCAATAAAACAACCTCTTCTATACGGTGCTGTCTGTCATCTAAGCTAACAATGTTAATGCCAGAGACACGTACCAGAGAGAGACAGGGGAGGAGACAGCACCCCTCAACGCGCTCAGGTCACACTGAAATTGCGCTCAGATCTGGGGCATCTAAGCATATGTACCCGGCGTGTCTTTCAACTACTGTGGCCAGGATTTGAACTGCAGCCAGCCATGTGGGACCTGGCTCCCGATGGACAGCCTTAGCCACTGCACTACAGGGCTGGCCATGAGCTGATTATTTTTGGTTTTAGACATATTTTTGGTATAGGGCGTGTGCACTCACTGGAGAGACAGAAAGACAGAAAGCAAGAACTCATTCCCCGGGGGAATGGCCACTCTGCAATCCCTTCTCCTCCATTTTCCTCTCGGGATTTTGGGCATGTGAGGGAGGAAGTGCCTCAAAGCTCCTCCCCTGTCTGCCCACGCCCTACCACAGGAGCGGCAGGTGCCACTGCAGCTTTCAGCACAGACCTCCAGCCCAGGTACAGGACGCTTGTTCCTCCCGCCTATCACTCGCTTAGACGTGTTCCTGGGACGTGGCATGTGGCCTGTATTTTATAAATCAATCTGAGGTTTTCTTTTTTTTTTTTTAATTAAAATGGTTTATTACAAAAATATATTAAATAGAAAAAAGAAAAAAAAAAAACCTTTTTTAGGGTCTCAGAACCCCTGACACTTCTCTTTCCAGGCCTGTGACAGCAGAAGGACACCTGAGACTGCTGAGCCTATCAGCAGCCTTGGAGGAAGGAGCCTAGCAGGCCCCGTCGTGACAACATGGTACCCGACCCCTGGCCCCCGAGCTGGAACCACCCTTCACACTAGCGAAGAATTTGCCTTCTGTACCAGAACCCCTTTCTCCGAGTCTACGAGACCACAATCAAACTGTGGGTGTAACAGAACATGAGGCTAACTGAGGTCTGGGCGGGAACATCCTTGCAGGGAGCGGCTTTTGACACCAGTCCCGTCTAATCCTCCTGGCAAGTGTGCCGAGGGAAAGTAGGAGAGCAGACACCATTCTCTGATCTCTGAGGTCTCACAGTACCCAGCAGTCACTCTGGACCTCAGTGCCGAGAAGGCCGCAGCACCTGGCACGTGCAGGCGAGTCCGCACCGTCCCGGGCAGGCTCCGACGTACCCGGCAAACCGGCACCCAACAGGCCTGTCAGCGTCGCGCTTTGCTGGTTGCCTCTTCCTCCTACAGGAAAACAGAGAGGAAGATTCAGTTCAATTCTCTCTGTTTTCACTTTGCTTAAAGCCCCACTGTACATCCTAAGGCTGGATCGGACAAATGCACAGAAATAGCCAGGTCAGGCTGTGCTGGCCCAGTCCCCTCTGCGAGCCAGGCTCCTTTACCGATGTGCAGAAACGGGAATTTCCGAGTGATGGGTGTATTTTCCAGGTAGGAAGGTCAGAAACCATACTCCAGTGGAAGGAGGAAGAATGAACGAGTGACGTGCGTGTGTAAACACCTCCTGGGCACCAGGCCCAAACGGCATCTCACTGTAGTCATGCATCAAGCCCGGGAGGTTGGGCCGATGAGGCTCGGCTTGCCCAAGAGGCGGCCTTCACTGGCCCCACTCCTGCTCAGCCTGGCAGCCGAAGCCACCCCATCTGCAGGAGACCCCCAGCTCGTGAACACCCCCT